CATGAGAAGAACTTCCTTTTAGGGTGGTTAAGCGCTCAAATAAATTGCCCATGGAGGTTGTGGAATATCCATCATTGGTGATTTTAAAAATTTGTTTAGACTAACACTTGTCAGGGATGATTGAGATAATACTTAGTCCTCCCATGAGTGCAGGGGACTCGACTAGATGACCTCTTGAGATGCCTTCCAGTCCTATAGTTCCATGATTCTACAAAACTCAATGTAAATTAGATGCACAATCTATTTAGCCACTTTGGAAAACCTAATTACAAACCTTCTGAATCTTTAGTTACCTGAATAACTTAGTATGTCTGGCCCCTAGTCATTTAATAGCCTAATAGGGATTGACTGCTAAGTTACTTTTGATAATTTTACTTTCTGCTGACTCTTTGCTCAGAAATGGATTTCACTGGTTATGAATAACAAATACGCTTACTGAAGGCAATTAGCTAAAATAGGGGCTTGCCATAGCAGCCCCCATGATTGATATATATCATACTATTGGTCTGTGATCAATATGTGATTCCAGTTGAAAATCATTTGTCTTTGTTCCTTTCAATTTTTAGTACAGCGTCATAGGATATTCATAAGGTACTTTATACATAGATAGCTACAGATTGAATTAACAAGGTATAATGAATAGGTATTTTTGGATAATTGAATTGTACCACAGAAAACAAGGTTCATATAAGTTGTTACTTTCCTTCGGCGAGAGCAAATAAAAATTAATAATAAATCAATACATTAATAGTTCTAGTCTTGTCATTTGCAATTTTAATATTTTAAAGTTAACTTTAGAAATACTGACTTGTTTACATTACCAAGGATTCCATTTCCAGTTTTCTCTAAATTAGTGTTTCTCAATCTGGTCCACAAAACCGCTTTGAGAAACCTGTTAACTGGCAGCTCCTGTGTGTTTACTTACTGGTGCTGCGGCCCGGAGTCTTGTGGCTCCCACTAGCTCCGTTGTGCTGTTTGCAGCCATTTGCATGGAGTGGCTAGTTAACAGGTTTCTCAAAGTGGTTTTAAAGACCACTTTGAGAAACACTGCTCTAAATAACTAAAAAAGAGACCTCAAGTGTAACCCTATTTATCAAAACTGAATTTTCAATACTTGCCATTCAAAATAGGGAAATAAATGTCATTTATAAATTAATATTTTGCAATGAAAAAGTTGCAAAACTTCTATCTCCCTCTTGCCTCATAGAAGGCTCTGATTTTCTTTTATTTTTTTTAATTTGATTTTCTTATCAGAGAGTTGGGTTGTTAAAAAGGAATAAAAGCATCAGGATAAATTATATAACTTCACAGTCTGTTACGTAACAATGTCAAATATAGATCAATAACAATATCCCAGTACTACTGGGAATTCAGATATTGTTTTGATTTACTTTGGATTTTGAGATGTTCTTATTTTTATAGTGCTATCAATATTTTATAATGTTGATCCAAACAACATATGTAGATTACTGACACTTGCTTTAAAGGAGTCAGATTTTCAATCGTCTCAGATATAAGATAAAGGTATAAGAAAAATACATCTAACTGAGAAGGAAGAGTAGTAATGGGTAAATCATCAGAAAAAAAATGTTACCCATTTGCTGTGAGCTAATATGAAACTAAAATTCCAGGTTTTTTACTTAACATCAAGTGGTCCCACTGAATTCAGTGGAACTCTTGCAGATTGAAGTACTACTCAACACGATCAGGGTTTCTGAATCCAGCCTTTAATATTAGAGTGGGTTAGAAATTTGTTGTGAATATTTGCTTGCCTTTTCTTCTATATGTGAATGTTCACAAACTGATTTCTGTAAATATAAAGCCAGATTTTCTGCTAGTGTAAATTGGCATAACTCCATGGAAACCAAATGAACTACATCAATTTACTACTAGCTGAGCCCATCATCTTTATCCATAAATATTTCCTGAATAATCTCCAAAATAATTTTCAGCCTCTGTGTTGTTCATAAAGTATTCTTTGTTATTCATAGTGAGTGTTTGGACACTAAATATAGTTTTTGAACCTTCTTTTAGTAACAAACTTTTAAAATAAAAAAGAAAAATAACACCCCCCCTAAAAACACATACATGCTGTGCACTTTTAAATTCTAGTTTCCCAAGAAAGAATCAATAATGCTGAGAATTTATGAAACAATCAGAGGTTGTAAACATTTGTTTGACATAAATTGTGAATACTGAATTACATGGACACTCAAACCAATAGTGGAGCAAAGTCAGTCTTTTTATTTAATCTATTTTTTTCATCAGCTGGATGATTTTATTTAACGTGTTAAACCTCTTGTCTGTGTGAGGCAGTGTAGCCTACCGAATAGAACACAACATTGAGACCTGGGAGATCAGGTTCTCCTACCAGCTCTGCCACTGATCTCCTGGGTGACTCTGATCAAGCTGTGTCATGAATGATCTGGATGATGGGTTGGTTTGCACCCTCAGTAAGTCCGCAGAGTACACTAAACTGGGGAGAGGTAGATACGATGGAGGGTGAACTAGACAAAGTGCACGATCGGGACAAAATAAATCTGATGAGATTTAACAAGGAGAAGTGCAGATCCTGCACTTGGGATGGAATAATCCCCTGAACTGCTGCAGGCTAGGAAATGACTGGCTAAATGGCAGTTCTATAGGAAAGGACCTGGCGACCAGTGTTCCCTCTAAACTGCGTGGCAGCACAGTTTCACAGATGATTAATCAGCCAGGCCCAGTCAGTTAGCTACAGGCAGTCCCCGACTTACGCGGATCCGACTTATGTCGGATCCGCACTTACGAATGGGGCTTTTCTCGCCCCGGAGCTCACGGGTGGCGGGTCGCCACCCGTGTCCTCCGGGGCGAGAAAAGCTTCTCCCGGTCTCCCTAGTCTGCTGGCGGGGGGCCCGCAACACCGCTGGC